GACTGAGCCACCCAAGTGCCCCTAAATAAGAATCTTTAACAAGTTGTGGCCAAGCATAGTTCCCTGCCTTTTTAGGGAACTTTTGTTTGAGAGGTTCTTTTCTCATTCTAGAAAAGTGCTCAGGATGAATATTACATGCTCAAATTAAGTCACAGCAATTAGTCCTTAGCAACGGTTTTCTAAAGGTTGACAAAAATCAGATGCTGTGCAGGGCACTGCAAGAACACAGATGGAAGTCCTTGCTGTCGAGGGCCTACAATCTAGGTGAGCTTCTGAGAATTTCTCACACTCTTTCTTGCTTGATAAAACAAAGTAACCATGGCAGAGAGCACTGGCATATTCCTACTTTCACACAAGCTGAATAGAATGAGCAGTGCTTTCCAGATTCCTATGAATGTGCCTGTGAGACCCCAGGCATTTGAGAAATATTGACTTAAGACTGAAGTTCTATTCGATTAAAAAAAATCTTTCAAATGCAAATTATCAGTCAAGTTTTATCTTTAACTGGTAAAATACACTTTAAGTATATATGAATGAAATGAAAATACAGATTTAAATTCTTATAATATTCTTGGGCTTGCACCCTATCCTTTTTACCCCCTCTCCTCCTCCGCCCCTGCCTGTAAACTAAGCCCAAATTTGAGACATAGGATTATGGAATGAAATTTAGCTTGTAAAAGGATAGATTGTTTACCTAAGGCAATTCCTCCATGAGGGGGCGCCCCAAAATCTAAAGCCTGGAGTAGGTGGGAGAGCAATTTCACATCTTCCTGAAATTCAAAACATAATTCAATGTGAATACACACTGAGGGTCCATCGAATGCCGCACAGGAAGCTTAGGTGCTAAAGGGAAAATAAAGCTAAGTTAAAAAAATACCTTAAGAGGTTGACAGTTTAGCAAGAGACTATGACAAGTCACAGATATTAAAACATGTAGAGACATGCCTGGCACTCAGTGCCAGGCCCGCAGTCACAGATTATACTGATAACGTAAACAGAATAACACCAATTCAGGACATGGAGATGTGAGCCCAGAAAGGTAGGGTGAGAGCAAGAAACTGTCCTATCACAGGGCCAAGGGAGGAGAACATTAGTAAGAGGGGAATGGTGTCAAACACACCTGGGAGGTAGGACAGCTTGGTGGCCAAGAACAGGCCACTGGGTTTGGTGGCTCTGCAAGTTAACTCATGTGGGTCAATGTGTGTAGATATGTTGAAAGTGTATCTGACAATGGTTCTCTCACCAGGCTACACATCAGAAACAGGTGGGGACCTTTTAAGGAACAGATGCCAAAGTCTCACACTTAGAGCTTTTTATTTAATTGGTCTGGTGTGGACTAGTGGGCTGGTTTTTTATTCTTGACACTTTGCCGTTGATTCTGTTCTCATGTGCAGCAGGGCTGAGAACCACTGGTGGGAGGGAAGAAGCAGAAGCGGTGAATTCTCCATGGACTCATTTAAGAAGCTTAACAATGAAAGGAAGAAAATCAGCTGGGAAACTGATGGCTGGATGCCTTGAGTTGGGAGGAGAAAAGTTAAGGGACCTCACCATGACCTTAAAGCTAATGGGGAGCTCTCCCAGAGAGAGAGGGAGACACAGAATCTGAAGCAGGCTCCAGGCTCTGAGCTGTCAGCACAGAGCCCAACACAGGCCTTGAACCCATGAACTGTGAGATCATGACCTGAGCCAAAGTCAGATACTCAACTGAGTGAGCCACCCAGGCTATCCTAAAAACATTTTTTTTTCCAAAGTTTATTTATTTATTTTGGGGGGAGTGAGAGAGAGAGAGAGAGAGAGAGAGAGAGAGAGAGAGAGAGAGGGCAAGTGAGCAGAGGAGGGACAGAGAAAGGGAGGGTGAGACAATCCAAAGCAGGCTTTGCACTGATGCTGTGGAGCCTGATATAAGGCTTGAACTCACAAACTGTGAGATCATGACCTGAGCTGAAATCAAGAGTCTGTTGCTTGACTAACTGAGCCACCCAGATACCCCCTAAAAACATTTTTTTAATGTTTATTTTTTTTATTGTGAGAGAGAGGGAGCACACGCGCATATGTGTGCATGTGGAGGAGGGGTAGAGAGAGAAGGAGGGAGAGAATCCCAGAATCCCAAGTGGGCTCTGTGCTATGGGGCTTGAACTCCTGAAACCGTGAGATCATGACCTGAGCCAAGATCAAGAGTCAGACACTTAACCAATAGAGCCACCCAGTCACTCATCTTTAAAATGGGCAGAATAAGGGTATATCTCAAAAAGTAATTGTGAGGATTAAATGTATCAATGCAGATAAAGTACCTACTGCCTTGCACATATAGTAAGCACTAATAAACAGCTTTTATTATTATTTACTTTTCAAAGTCTTCAGTAAAAGTAGAGAGACAAGCCAACACTATTCTGTAACTACTGAATCCTTCATTCATAAAATTAAAAAAAACAACACAAACATTCTTGAAGGCAGCTATATTCACCACTATACCACCAACACCAGCTAAAACAGCAAATATTCTAGTTAAAACAAAAAAAAAGCAGGTTAAGAGATGATGTCACCTTTAGCAGTGTTGCCAGAATGTAACGCTGGAGCTCTGCATCATGTATTCGGATAGAACCACCTCCTATCTCATTGCCATTTAAAACCAAGTCATAGTGTTGGCTACGGACCTAGAAGATTCACAGAGTCTTTATGTTAGAGAAAATTTCTAATTTTCTGTTCTACACGTTGAAGATGCTACAGCAATTTAGAGACAATGTATTAACTGTGGGCTTGAACCCGACAATTTTTTCCGAGGTTTCCAGAACCGGGTCAGACTGTGAAATCTGAACTTCTTTGCCCTTGTTTCCACATTTCCTTTTAAACTGGAAGTACCGATACGGTACCTGTTTGGGTTCAGTGTGTAAGAGGTGGATGTCGCTGGGGTGGGGAGCAGTAAATGGGTGGTGGGCTGACTCCAGCTCGCCAGGATTTTCCTCCTTGGGGAGGAAGAGTGGGAAATCCACAACCCAAAGGAAAGAGAACAGAGCTGGGTCACGGAGCACCAATCCTCTTGCTTCTAGAAGGTCAGCACATTCCAGTCGTAGTTTTCCCAAAACAGAGCACTGGGAACAGAAAACACAACCACTGAGTTAACTGCGGTGACAGAGTAGACAGCAGATGACACAACCTGGACTCTGTAGTCAGGCTATCCTCTGGGAAGGGATCAGGAAATGAACAGATGACACTCTGGGGCACCTGGGTCCAACTGCGGCTCAAGTCATGATCTCATGGTCTATGAGTTGGAGCCCCGCATCAGGCCCTGTGCTGACAGCTCGGAGCCTGGAGCCTGCTAAGGATTCTGTGTCTCCTTCTCTCTCTGTCCCTCCCCCGCCCTCAAAAATAAATAAACATTAAAAACAAAATAAAAAAAAAATAGATGACACACTCTGAGCCTCTCAGGAGACACAGCTCTGAGGATGATCTGACCGCAATGTGGTTGAGAATGTCAGACTCAGCCGACTGAGTAGGATTTGATGACAAAGTGATTGAGAGCACAGGTACCTGAGCTTGACTGACTTGGGTGTGTCTCAGTTTGCCTACTGACTAACTTCCCTACAGCTTTTTCTATAGTAAAATGGAGATAAATGTACCTACTCCGAAAGCCGTCGTGAAGACTGAGACAAGGCATGGAAGGTGCAATACGACTGGCAGCTATTGTGTTGTCTTCCTTACCGCTCCTGAAGGGTCGTGTGAGGCTCTGATGAGCGCCTGGCACACAGCTGATGGCCAATACATGTTGGCTATTATTAGAGGGGCAGTACAGATTAGAGGTTAGTTTAAGAGTGTGACTTTTGGAACCGGACTTTGTGGGTTAGAGCTCTGGGTCCTCCACTTCCTAGTTGCGTGTGAGCAGATTTTTAACTTCTGTGCCTCAGGTCTCCTATCTTGGAATGGTAGCCATATCAGTCCTTCTCTCAGTAGGGCTGGCATGAGGATTAAATGAGTTAATATGCACAAAGTACTGAGAACAGTGCTGAGAAAATGGGAAGTGCTTCCTGAGTGCTAACTCTGATAAGCAGAACTTCCCTGAAAAAGGCCTGTCAGGACAAACCGTGCCTGGAGACATGCACAGGCGACACTTTATAGCCTCTTCATCTTACGTTTAAATATCCACACAGGGTACTTGCACTGTGACATATTCAGAATGCTAATGCTATTCCACCTAAGTCTGGTTTCTAGTTCTTTCAAGAAATCCCGGTAGGAATTAGAATGATACCTTCCTGAGAGAAGAATGCCAGTAGTTTCACTCCATACTAGGAGAGAGTAGAATGGTCAAATGAGTCTGCAGCAGGATTTCTGTATAATACAAAATCCCACAATCTGTAATAAAGTGGACATTCCCTAGCAAGTTTAACAGTGATGTTCATGTCTAGTATTCAAAATAATGTTGAGGGGGCGCCTGGGGGGTTCAGTCAGTCGAGTGTCTGACTCTTGAACTCTGGTCACATAGGGTTGTGGGATCGAGTCCTGCATTGGGCTCTGCACTGAGTGTGGAGCCTGCTTAAGATTCTTCCTCTTTCTCTTTCTCTTTCTTCCTCTCTCTTTCTCTCTCTCTCTCTCTCCCTCCCTCCCCCTTTTCCCTCTGCCCCAACTCACACTTGGTCTAAAATAAGAAACAAAAACCAAAAAAACCCCAAACAAAAATAATGTTGATTAATTAATTCATTGAAAAATGATGGCGGCATCAAAACAGATTTGTAATTAAATACCTTTCTTCACTCCACTATTGCAAGGGAGGGGAAGGAGAGTGGGTTACATTTATTTATTAAAAAAAATTTTTTTTAGATCTTATTTAATTCTTATTTACTCATTCATTCAGAGTAATCTCTACCCTCAACGTGGGGCTCGAACTCATGACCCTGAGATCAAGAGTCAGATGTTCTTCAGATGGAGCGAGCTAGGCACCCTGACAGTGGGGTACATTTAGCACTGAAACTGAACTCTGAAACTTCTCCTTTGGAAGGAAACAAGGGTATGTATGGTGCAAATACAAATTAGAAGAATGAACTTGATAAAGTACTAATCAGACACCAATGCTATAAAGGAATCATACTTTAGTGCAAGAATGAATTTATATTACACTTGACCTTTCCAGTATATTTTCAACATTCATGCTTGACTTCTATTCCATACTTGTGTATGTTTTTACATGGTCTCTATGGCCAAATCCAGTCTTACACAGATTTCCTTAAGCACAGAGATTTAGCCAGAGTGTGGTGGCACTCAATACCCCCGGCTGCTGCTCCTGAGGAAGAGGGTCCTGCCCTGACCAAGCAGGGCCAGAGATGTCTGCCAGCCCAGTAGCCTTCCAGCATCTCATCTGTCCCTCCACAGGTTCAAAAGTTTGGGATTCCCAAATCTTCCTAATCTGCAACATCTCGAAAATGAAAATATTTTCCACAGTGAAGATCGATGGCCCTTTACCTAAGTGGCCTTCCTAATCTAACCTGTGTGAACAATGCCAATGGAGGCTGGTAGCTGGTGAAACACACTCTAGTTTTGATACAGTATGGTAAGTGCCGAAAACATTTATTAATATAAAAACTCATGCAGAGCAGCTCCACTTATTGAAATGAACACTTTTAAGTATGTATTATACATGCAGGAGAAAAGAGGCATCGTTCAGCATCAACAGCACAGACATTTAGAGGTAGTGCTCCTTACTGCTTTCCTGTGCTCTCCGGCCGTGAGCAGGACCACACCGTCCTCTTGGATCTCCATCAGTCTGATTAGTTCTGATCTTTGCTCCTCCATTATGGACTTAGCAACTGGAGAATTCCAGTTTCTATTGGCTTTTGGGAATACAGGTAAGACTTCCTGTGATAAAGAAAAAGACTTACATTTTTTTTTTTAAAAGTGGGGTTGATTTACTTTTCTTGTAGTATATAAAGATTTCTTGTTCCCCACAGAACTGAAGATGGTCTTCATTCCCTCCCTCAACCCCTTCGAAATGATACTAAATGAATTACAAAAGGAATCTCAACATAATGAAAAAATGAAAGGGGATATAAGGTGGGGAAATACTGCAGATTTGTGGCAGGCTGCAAGGGAACAGAATAGGAAGGATCAAAGCAGCAAGACACAGGAAGCTCTGGCCTGGAGAAAAATGGAGCGGCCTCAGCACAAGAAGGAACTGATTTTAGCAGAAGCCTAGAGAGGCTCAGGACTCTTAGGAAGCTTTGGTTTCCCAGGGTAATGGGCAACGACTCTGTTGCTCCCACTAAACTGATCCTACCCATTCACAAAGCCCTTCCGAGGACCCCGTGCTCCCAAACAGCTTTAAAAAAAATCTTTTTAAGTAACCTCTATACCCAATGTGAGGCTTGAACTCATGACCTCCGAGATCACGCTTGTGAGTTCAAGCCCTGCATCGGGCTCTGTGCTGATGGTGTGAAGCCTGCTTGGGATTCTCTCTCTCCCTCTCTACCCATGCACACTCTTTCTCTTTTTCTTTCTTTCTTTCTTTCTTTCCTTCTTTCTTTCTTTCTTTCTTTCTTTCTTTCTTTCTCTCTCTCTTTCTTTCTCTCTCTCTCTCTCTGCCCTTTCTTTCTTTTTCTTTCTTTCTTTCTCTCTCTCTCTCTGCCCATGCACACTCTCTTTCTTTCTTTCTCTCTCTCTCTCCCTCTCTCTCTGCCCATGCACACTCTTTCTTTCTTTCTCTTTCTTTCTCTCTCTCTCTCT